CGGGGGAGCATTCCCCCGGACCCCCCTAGATTTACGAGCGCCTTTGGCGCTCCCCTCTCAAAATCCATCGGTAAAACTGGGCAGACTGAAAAAATGCAAGCTGGCCGACGTCGACTCGAACACCCCATTATTTGTGGACGCACTCGGGGACCAGGACAGGTGGAAAACACAGGGAACACATACCTTTAATGCGTGCTTCATTACATGTAAGGTATACGTAATTTTGTCAGTGATCCCAAATCCAGTGCAGCTCGAAAAAAAAGCCTGTCAATTTACCGTTAAGCGTTGCCGACATTCCTGAATTTACCGTTAAGCGTTATCGGCCCTGCTGAATTTACCGTTAACCGTTGCCAGGACCCCCCCATGCAGACCCTCAAACTTGTAAAAAAATTCTTCAATTCTTGCGTAAGTTTAACATACAGCTTACAAAAACACTGTCCATAACTTTTCGTCAAGGAGAACTCGGTTACTCCAAGATACGTGGATGAAGGTTAGATATCCAGGTAACAAGCAACTGGGTAGATGTTGAAAATTGTCGAAGTGATGTCACGAAACGCAGTGAATGCTTGAAGTTTAAGTTTAAACGTCTGACAGTTTTCAAAATCTATCCAGTTCCTTGCTTGAGTAAAGTAACTCCAAATTTGTCCCTATAGATATAGTATCAAGTAAATGATCATCAGTGGATGTAGGTGATAAGGGCATATGTCACATATGTCAAACATAGTCAAGTAAAATCAAGACAAGTCAATTTAGTTTATTGCACAACAATTGTAGCAGGTACAATGAATGGCAGATAATAAGGTTATATAATAATAATGATCATAGTGATAGTGATACTAGCTGGTATGGGCCTATCAAAATTCTGCATATAGGTTCCAGGGGTACTCATGTCTGGCAGAATGTTGAATAGAACTACTGACTAAAATCTCTACAAGAACGTTCTAAGCTACAATATGTTTATATGATTCAAATACCGGACAATATTTTCTCCCCCAGGTGAACTGTGCCTGTGTGGCTGTGTTGTGTCGATGTATGACAATGACAGCACTGCCCTGAGTACAGCCGTGTCCAGGGTCCATCAGGACTGGGAACACCTCAGGACACACGGACTCCTCCTCAACCAACATACACAGCCTGTAAGACTCCCAAACCTGGGCTGAAATCTTTGCATCTTTACCTCCGGGGAAGGAGATATCCTTCCGCGAGGAGGTTTTACTATTGTTCGAAACATTTCTGTCAGCAGCTGTTTCTCGCGATCGGCTGGACGGATTGGTCTGTTGTTCGGTATACGTATTGCTGTTGGGCTGCAGATGATGCAGAACGTTTTTGTTTAATTGCATATGTGTTTATGGGCGTCGAAATAAAAGGTTTTTAAGTGCTCCGGACACCCCCGTTATGCTGAAAATGGAATTTACCATGTTGTTAAGGAATGGGGAGGTTTCAGTTTTGGGTCTTACCATTTAAAAGGGGTCAAACAGAGGGGTGTCTGGTTCCGATAAAAACGTTGGGTGACGGCGCAGCAATGACGGCGCGGGATGACGGCGGGGCTAATGGCGCGGGTGACGC